TGCATCTCCTGTCCTGCCTGCCACTTCTCCGCCTGTCCTGGGAGGCCTGGGACCCCGGCCGTGGAGGGGCCGCAGTGGGCTTTGGGGTTGGGAGGCCTGGGGTCGAATGGCGTGTTCATCACGGGGGCACTGCTGGGAGCCAGGCTGTCAGGGGCGGGACACCGGGCGGCGAACAGGCAGACGCTGTCCCTGCTCCCGGGGCCGGGGGCTGGCATTCCCGCCGGGAGACGGGGGAAGGCCGGGCAAATCAATGAGATCAAGTCACAGATGAGAAGGCGGTGGCGAACGGGAGGGGCTAGAGCAGGGCTGCCCAGGAGGGACGCGCCTGGGCCACGTGCGTGATTTTATTTTATTTTTACTTTTTAATGTTTTTATTGATTTCAGAGACGAAGGGAGAGGAAGGGAGAGAGAGAGAGGCATCCGTGATGAGAGAGAATCACGGATCGGCTGCCTCCTGCACGCCCCCCACTGAGGATCGAGCCCACAACGCGGGCCTGTTCCCTGACCGGGAATTGAACTGTGACCTCCTGGTTCATAGGTCGACGCTCAGCCACTGAGCCCCCCGGGCCGGGCTACTGGAGGCTTTTCAGGGGAGCAGGGCTGGGTCCGCTGCCCTGTGGTCCTCGGTGGGAGGGGCAGACGCCGGGGCCAGTGATCGAGGTGGCGGCTGGGACCAGGGTGGGCACAGGTTGGGTTTGGAAGGAGGCCGAGTTGGAGATGGGCTCTGAAGGCACCCAACCCGTAGAGGCAGGAAGAAGAGGGGGTGACAAGAAGGACCCCTTCTTGACTCAATGCCATTTGTTCATTCATTATTCATTCATGGCATGGACCCCCCTCCGGTGAGTGAGCGGCGGACCGTTTCTGAGGCTCCGTGCAGCTTGGGGGACACAGAAACGGCTGGCCCGTGAGCCTGAGACCAGGTGCGCCCCCCGGGGTGGGCCTGTGAGTGCAGGGCTCCGGGGGCCGTGGGGAGGGGTGGCAGCTGCGTGGTGGGGGGGGACACGACTCCGTGGCAGGGAGCCCGGAGAAGCCCTTGGGGATCCACGAACCAGAAAGCCACCTTGGTGGCCCCTCCTCGCCCTGGGGCCCCAGGCCAGGCCTTGGGGGTGCTGCCCAGCTCCGGCTGCCCCATGCCCTCTGCAACGCCTACTCTGCCTCAGAGCTCGCTCTCGCTCGCTCTCTCTCTCTCTCTTTCTCGGGGCAGCTTGCTCGCTCGCCTGCTTGCTGGGCAGTAACGACGCTTCCCCGGGGCTCAGCCTGGGCCTTCAGACGCCCCTCCCGTGGGGGAGGGTTCACACTGGCGAGAGCGAGGGTGACACCACGGCCCCTGGTGTCCGAGCCCCGAGGGACGTTGCCGGGGCCCCTGTGCACTGTCACTGCTCAGGGCCCAGCCAGGCCGAGCGGGGCTGTCACTCCCGTGAGAAGGGAACCCCCTACAGTTTTTTGGCTTAAATGACACTGGGAGAGCGGACGGGGCCAGAGCAGAGCCCCCAGCCCGTGGCTGCCTCCCTGCGTGGGTTTCCACTTGTGAACAGACAGCCCCATGTGGGGGCTCCCCAGGGGGGCAGCCGGGGAGGGGCTGGGCTCCTGTCCCCTCTGTCTCTCTCCTCATCGTCCATCTGAAAGGGGGCCCAGGAGGAGAGCGAGGACACCACGGGACAGGCTGGCATGGGCCCCTTCCCTGCCTCACCCCCCAGCTCCGAGTCCGGCCCCCAAACCCAGGGAGAAGGTTGTTGCTTCCATTATTCCCATGGGCTCCCTCCCCACAGGTCTCCCTGGACGCCCCTTGGTGGAAATTTCTCCCATGATGTAGGTCTCGGCTTAGCCTGAAATGTTGCTATGCTTGTCCGGATTAATAAAAAGAGAAGGGTCATGCCTGGCCAGGGTGGCTCAGTGGTTGAGCGCTCTCCCATGCACCAAGAGGGCACCGGCCCGGTTGTGGACTCGGTCCCCTGTAGGGGGCGTGCAGGAGGCAGCCGATTGACGTTCCTCTCTCATCAGCCATGTTCCTATATCTCCCTCTCCCTCGCCCTTCTTCTCTCTCTAAAAATGAATAAAAACGTATTTTAAAAAACAGCAGCAAAAGGGTCACCTGCTGGTGACCTCAGCATATTTTAATTTCAGAGAAGTGTTTCTTCTCCATTCACTCTTTACAAAGAATCAACAGTCTATTTTTTTTAATGCAGGACTCGCTTTTTAAAAAAATATATGTTTTTATTGATTTTAAAGAGAGGGGAAGGGAGAGCGTTAGAGAGAGAGAAACATCCATCTGCACCCCCCCCTTACTGGTGCGTGAGCCGGGAAGTCGGGCATGCCATCTGCACACCCCCTTACTGGTGCGTGAGCCGGGAAGTCGGGCATGCGCCTGACCCGGAATCGAACCTGTGACCTCCTGGTGCATGGGTCCACGCTCAACCAACTGAGCCACGCCACCCGGACAAATCAGAAGTCTTTTAGCAGAAAAATCTCTGTTTCTGGTTGATTTAAACTGCCACCTGCTCGACCCGCTGATTCCCGGCCGATTCCTCCCACCTCAGTTCCTAAATTCTCAAGTGGACGCACGCTCTGACCGGGAATCGAACCTGTGACCTCCTGGTGCATGGGTCCACACTCAACCAACTGAGCCACGCCAACCGGACAAATCAGAAGTCTTTTAGCAGAAAAATCTCTGTTTCTGGTTGATTTAAACTGCCACCTGCTCGACCCGCTGATTCCCGGCCGATTCCTCCCACCTCAGTTCCTAAATTCTCAAGTGGACGCACGCTTCTCAGCACGGCCTGTCCCAAGCACCAAGCGTGTCTCCCAAAGACACGGGTACTCCTGTCCCCGGGGAAGGGCAGCTCGACTCCCCACATCTCCGCCAGCCCCCCTCGCTCGGGTGTCGGACTCTAGAACCCCGCACCCTCCCCCGGGCCTCCGGAACCTCCGGGAACCAGCTGCGTAACCCGCTCCCGCGGGGCCTCCCGCCGCCTGTAACCGCGCTGGTTTCTTCCAGGAGAGGTGCCACCTGTTCTGGAGCCGTGATAAAAAGGGCTCGCGGGACAAGGAGGCCATGCAGGCCTACTCCGAGTCCCTGATGGCGGCAGCTCCCAAGGGCACGGTGCTGCAGGAGGCCAGACTGTAGGTGGGTACCAGGTACGCCCGCCTGCCCCACCCCGCCCGTAGCGAATAGAACCCCGGACCCGGGCGGGCTGGGTCGGCTTCTTCGGCCCGGATCCCCCGGAGGGTCGAGGTACCGAGAGACCCCGTTTGTCTGTTCTGCTCTGGGCGCACCGCCCACTTTTCTGAGGTTCCCAGCGAATGGCAGCCTCCCCCCGCCCCCCACCCGGGGCGCCTCCTGTTTTGTGGGCTGGTGTCTTATCTACAAGGCTGTGTTGGTAAAGGCAGGATCCAGGTGTGGGACAGCGGCCTCTCAAAGCTCGGGTGCGACAGCCTCGCCCTGGCCGGTGTCGCTCAATGGTTAGAGCGTCATCCATGCACCTAAGGCCGTGGTGGGCAAACCGCGGCTCGCAAGCCACATGCGGGCCCTCCTATCCGCACCCGGGGCGCCTCCTGTTCTGTGGGCTGGTGTCTTATCGACGAGGCTGTGTTGGTGAAGGCAGGATCCAGGTGTGGGACGGCGGCCTCTCAATGCTCGGGTGCGACAGCCTCGCCCTGGCCGGTGTGCTCAATGGTTAGAGCGTCGTCCATGCACCTAAGGCCGTGGTCGGCAAACCGCGGCTCGCAAGCCACATGCGGCTCTTTGGCCCCTTGAGTGTGGCTCTTCCACAAAATACCACGAGGGGGTGCGCACGTACCGGGCGATTGAAACTTTGTTGCCCATGCGCAGAAGTCGGTATTTTGTGGAAGAGCTGGTATTTTGTGGAAGAGCCACGCTCAAGGGGCCAAAGAGCCGCATATGGCTCGAGAGCCGCGGTTTGCCGAGCCGCAGTTTGCTGACCACGGACCTAAGGGTTTGATTCCCGGTCCAGGACACATACCTGGGTTGCAGGTTGGATAGCCGGCCCCGGTTGCAGGAGGCAACCCATCGATGTGTCTCTCTGACATCGATGTTTCTCGTGCGCCCTCTCCCCCTCCTTTCCACTCTCTCTTAAAAAAAAATGGCCCCGCTGGCGGCTCAGTGGGTGAGCGTTGCCCTATGAACCAGGAGGTCACGGTTTGATCCCCGGTCAGGGGCGTGCAGGAGGCAGCTGACCCAGGATTCTCTCTCGTCGCTGATGTTTCTGTCTCTCTCCCCCCCTCTCCTCCTCTCTGAAATCAGTAGAAAATATATTTTTTTAATGTTAAAAAGTAAATAAATGGGCAAATATCCTCGGGCCGAGGAGAAAGAAAGAAAAGCAGCTCTGGTGCAGGAGCCTCTCCCGGGACGTTTGCTGCCAGGGCAGCCCCTCCCTCACCGGCCGGTGGACGCTGGGCGGGGCCCGAGTCCTGTTTCCAGGGCCCCTGGGGGGATCCTGCAGCCACGGCCCACGTGAACCTGGGGGACTGGCCAAGAGAACTGGGCGCCCACGAATAGCCGCCCTCGGCCTGAGGGTAGGGTCGCCTGGATGGAGGGGAAACAGGCAGATACACACAACGAGGCAGCAACAGCAACAAAAGGCCGCCCAGTCCGACTGGAGTTCAGGGGAAGAGGGAGTGGCTTTGGGACCAGCGTGCCCCGCGCAGTGACCCTAGGGTTTGGAAAGCCCCTCGCGGTTCCCCTGGGAACGGAATTGAGTGGGGCTCCTTGACTGCACCGCACCCGTCGGCGGGGGAGGCAGCCGGGCCGTGGGGAGCCCTCCTCCTGGGCCCAGTCCCTGTTTTTGTTTTTTAAATTTATTTATTGATGAGAGAGAGAGAGAGAGAGAGAGAAGTTTGTTGTTCCACTTATGGATGCGTTCACGGGTGGATGCTGGTACAGCCCCGACTGGGGATCGAACCCGCGGCCCTGGCATCCGTCCCGGGAGGACAGGCTCACCAGCCACCCAGCCGGGATGTCACTTGGTTTCTGAATAACGTGCGGCCCCTCCAGCTTCTGGGCCTGCAGGGGGTTTAGTAGCCGCCCTGAGCCACGGAGGAGCCGGGAGCCGGGTGAGGCGCAGCCTGCTGTGTGGGGTCCGCTGGCTGCCTCCCTCCCACTTGCTGGCTGCCAGGCTGAGGAGGAAATAAAGTAGAAAATGAGAATTGGTGGGAGCCGGTGTGTTTGTGTTGGCAGGTGCTGCAGGCCCTGCGAGGGGGAGGGGGAGGGGG